GCCGGGGAAGGAGGGACAATTTCCTCCTGTACCAGTCAGATCCAATTTTACAGTACACACACAAATAATAATAATAATAATAATAATAATAATAATAATAATAATAATAGAAGCTGATGAAATAATGGGCAGACCATCGTTTGAATTGGTCCACAAGTGAGCCTTCAGAGGCTGTAAGTCACATGGGAAGAGACAGCTCATTTTTCTCCCACAGAGCTGCTCGTGGATTATCCTCCTTTGGGTTGGCATTGGTTAGCAAGGATATTCAATGATAAACAGCCATTTCTAAGATTCTGAACTTAAAGCTACAAAATTGGTGCAAGTTTCCTGAAACCTGATAGCTTGCTTAACTAACCTTAGTAGTTGTCGATGGGCACCAGTGAGTCTCTTCTGACTCATTTGATCCCTTGTGACAGAGAAGAGCTGCCCCATTGGGTTTGCTGGCTTCACTCTTCATGGCAAACCTGCTCCCATTAAGATTCGCAGTCTTAGAAATCCTGTGGGGAGGTTCTTCTCTGTCACGTAGGGTTGCTGCGGGCTGTAACAGACTCATCGGCAATGTGTGTCTCTGTGACATTTTTATGGAAGCAGATTAGCCGGTCTTTTCCCCACTGAGACATCAGGTGGGCTCGACTTGGCAACTCTTCAGTTAGCAAATGAATACTTAGATTAACCGGTGTGTCAACCAGGCTCTTCAACCTAGACAGACTTGGGAATACACCGCACCCAGAGCTCTCCTTACAGAAGGACTTGTTGCCCCAACTACTAGGAATGCTCCTAGGAGGTACCTTTGGCTGCCCGCTCTTTTGGGGCCCGCCTTCACTCTGGACAGTGCTTTCCCCAAGTCCATGCATCTCTCCAAGATTGTCCAGATGCAATGCCAATACAAGTGAGGGTGTTAATACCTAATGCTTGACAACTCTCAAAGGCTGTGTCCACTCCAGATTTGGCCTCCCCACAGGCCTGACATGTAATCAGACTTAACACTGTTATGTGCTGTTGAGTCACCTGCGAGCCATAGTGATCCTATGTACAGTAGCTCTGAATCCTGCCCTATCCTGAGCCAGTCTCACCAACCCCCACTGCCCCAGTTACTGTATCAATCCATCTCATCTGGGGCCTTCCTCTCCTGTGCTGTCCATCACCCTTCCAAGCATGATGTCCTTTTCCAAGGACTGTTCTCTCCTGGCCACGTGTGAAAAGTATGTGAGATGGAACTTCAAAATCCTATACTCCAAGGAGAAATTTGGTTTCACCCTCTCCAAGACAGACCCATTTGTTTTCTTGGCAGTCTATGGTATATTAAAAACTTTTCTCCAGCACCACAATTCAAAGGCATCAATTCTTTTTCTGTCATCCTATTGTCATTGTCCAGCTTTCTGAAGCATAACAAGTAATTGTGAAGACCATGGCCTGGATTAGGTGAACCTTAGTCTCTAGACTGATATGGTTGCTGTTGAGCACTCTGGAGAGGTCCTGTCTGGAGAGCACTCCTGTCCCCGACAGGAGATCTTCCCAAGGCAATTCATCTTTTAACTTCCTGACTACTGTTGTTAAGAGTTTTATTGCCTGTGTTTCATTGACTATGCAAAGGTATCTGACTGTGTGGATCACAATAAATTGTGGCTAACCTTGAGGAAAATGGAAATCCCAGAACATGTGATTTTGCTATGTGAAACCTATACTTGGACCAGGAAGCAGTCCTCAGGACAGAGCAGGGAAACAATGCATGCAAAATCAGGAAAGGAGTACGTCAGGGATGCATCCTGTCTCCATACCTTTTCAATCTGTATGCAGATCATTCGGGAAGCAGGGCTTTATGAGGAAGACTTAACATTAAGTTTCTTTATATAATCTATTTTCTAGCCTATCTGCATCCTGAATTTAACATATTCAAGGTCTGACATGCAACAAATGTTTCTCAATTCCTGATCACTGCATTTTCTCGAATACTTTACAGAAGAGTCCTTGGGTATTGCAAATGTTTAGGTTCTAAAGTATTAACCAAAAAGTTAGTTGGTGGTTCAAATCCACCCAGAGATATTTCAGAAGTAAGGTTTAGCAATCTTCTTCCAAAAGGTCATAGTTCTAAAAATCCCATGGAGTAGTTGTACTGTGTACACATGGGATTACTATTAGTCTAAATTGGTTCAATAGCAACAACAGTAAAACACAGTCTACAATAAAATCTAATCTACAAATAGATAATCTAAGTAGCTTTTGTGGCTGAAACACAAATATCTTCTCTTTAAAAATATATTTTCCTTAAGTAATTAAGGGAAAATATTGAGAGATATCTGTTACCACAAGACAGCTCTATATTGGCAAATCAGTAGAAAAATTACAACATGAAGGCACACAGTTTGGATTCACCAGTTGCTCTGCAGGAGTAAGACGGGCAATTTACTGCTATGTGACTTACTGTCTCTGAAAACTCACTGGAGGGTCATCTGTGAGTCAGTTCTGACTTGACAGTACATACCAACAACAATGAGGTCTAGACTAGGATCTTTTTCCTTTCTGATACGCCAATAGCACCTTCTAAATTGTGGGTACACATTTGCAAGTTGTGCGAGCAAAAGGTCTAATGAAGTCTTTGTTTGTTCCTGCCAACTATGAAGCTTCAGAGGGAAAGGAGCAGAAGGGGTAGCACCATGGTGATGTTACCAGGTGCTTTGAGTTGACTATGACTCATAGTGACTGACTCTGCCCATGCTGGACCATCCTTGCAATCTCTGCTGTACTCAACTCTGCTGGTGCAGCAACCTTGTCAATCCAGCTCCCTGAGAGTCTTCTCTTTCACTGAGCCCCTACTATTCCAAAGACTGACCCCTCCTGAAAACATTCTCAAAGTTATGAGATGAAGTCTTAGCATCTTTAATTCTAAGGAGCATGCTGGTCATATCTCTTCCTTCAGAGAATAGTTTCTTCTTTTGGTAGTGCAGACTATATTAAGTATTATCAAATGTGCTAACACCAGCATTCAAAGGCACTGATTCTTCTTTGGTTGTCCTTACTCACTGTTCAACTTTTCAAATGCATATGAAACGACTGAAAAGACCATGGCGTGGGTCAAGCATTCTTTAATCTTTAAAGTGACATCTTCGCCTTTTAGCAGTTTAAAGACGTTCTAGGCAGCAGATATTCCCAATACAATGTATTGTTCAATTTCTTGACTGCTGCTTCCATAGATGTTGAGTGTGGATCCTGGGAAAATGAGATCTTAGACCAGGCCAGTCTTTTACCCATTTACTATGATGTTGCTTTTTTTAGGTGATAAGTGATAATTTTCCTTTTTCTTTGTGCTCAGGTGTTATCTGCACTCAAGGCTCTATTCTTTGATCTTCAGTAACTGTTTCAAGTTCTCTTCACGTTTAGCAAAGTTGTGTCATTCTGTATACCACAAGTTACTTATGAGTCCTCCTCCAACACTGATGGACATTCTCAAATTATTTTCTCAATTTATTTGCTCAGCATATAGACTGACTAGGTAGAGAGAAAGGATACAACCCTGACACGCACCTTCTCTCTCTAATTTTAAACCACATAGTATCTCCCTGTTCTGTTCGAACGTTTGCCTCTTGGTTCATGTATAGGACTGGCCAATGAACAGCAGTAGAGCACTGTCCAATACAGAGTACCCATGACTGCATCCTTCTGTGAGAGCCCAGAAAAATCTTCCTAACCTTCAAACATACCCGCCCATGTTAAAAAAAATGACCAGCTAACCAAGTGAACCCAGATCCTAGAAAAGTTTGATATTATTCTTTTCCTCAAAGTACCCCCTCCAATACTAAATAATCAGGCCTTTGCTTTTCCTCTGACACTATCCACATGGTCTATAACAAGACTCATCTGGTCTTTCACCTCTTGTTTAAATTATGTAACAGTTCATTTGTTTCAGGTACTAGGCACTGAGCCCTATCTCTTACCCCAAGTTAACTGACTAACTTTGACTTGTCTTTGAAACTTTAGCTGAAATGTCAGTTTACCATGGAAGTGTCTCATTACCTCCTATAGGATCATGCTTTCCTTTCAGCCACAGCAAGTCTCATAATTACATTTATAGCTATTTGCGTGCTTATTTATTTAATCTCCTCCATAAATAATTAGCTCAATGAATGTCCTCTGCATGTCGAGGGCCTACCACAGTTCTTAGCATATAGTAGAGGGTCCCCATCACTATGTAGAACCTTTAGGTTAACAACCAGACACGTGAATCACTGTACCACCAGGGCTCCTTTATATACCTATGGAAAGAATGACCAAGGTTTCTTTTCTAGAAATCAATGCTGTGAAGAGTTTATGTACGGCATTCAAAACACTTCTAGTAATTAGTGATTATTCTGTGAAATACTCATTATTGATCATTTTAAGAAATATTTATCTTAAAATGGCTTTGGAAGAAGCTGAATTTTTTTTTTGTTGCCCAGAAATAGTTGATGATTTCACAAATGTTTTCCTATAGACTTCAACTTAGGAACCATTGACAGGCTTGTAGGATAGGAGGATCTTCAATCAGAAAAGTAAAGCCAAATTAAAAAAAAAAATTAGAAGCATTATTCTGAAAGAAGTCTAGCCTTAGAATTATAAACACAGGGAATACTGGGAATATAGAAGCAAACTTATGCCAAGAGCACACTTCCAAAAGGGCACAGCCAAAGGTTTTACTCGAAGGCGTTAAAGGTCTTCAATGTTAAGGTTACTGGTTTAGGGAAGGACTTATCGGCTTCTTTGACTTGAGGGTTTATGGATTTATGTATCTTTCTTTATTGATGCTGGTGGATGTCAGAGTAGTTAGAGAAGAATATGAAGAAGCAGGCACAAAAGCAGTCTGCAGAGCCCTGTGTTTTCACAGAAGGAGAACTGTCAAGGGCTAAGTTCTGCACCATATTGCAGCTGGATGAAGGCAACAGGAAGTCTGGGATGTGTACAGGGCCTGGCCTGGCTTCACCGTGACTGACGGCGCCGAGCGCTGCCCGGGAGACCACAAGACCTACCTTCCTCTTGTGCACGATGGAGGAGCTGGAGTTTATTGTGCTTTCGTCCTCCTGCATCATGACCAGCTCGGAGCTGCTGTCGTCCATGACCTCCTGCATGCTGTTGACACTGCTGTTCTGGCTGCCCATGCTCACAGACATGCTCGGGATGGAATGGTTGCTGCCCAGGCTGTCCATTTCCCTGTCCTAAAAAAAAAGAAGGGGGAGAGGGCACTTGGGTTAAAAAAGAGAGAGAGAACTAGAGCGAAAACACCAATCCATTGACTAAGCTATTAAGCACACTCAATTCTGCAGTGCCAAGGTGCTTTTTCTGCCAAATCTGCAAAGATAAACTTTTTATGGAGTGGCTCCGCAACTCCTCTATCCCCTCCCCAGATACACTTTTTTGTCTTCCCCAGTGGCTACTCTGGACATGGGTCATAAGGCTCCGAATGTCGCTACGCCAGGGCATTCTTCCCCTTTCCCACATGACTATCATACTATCGCCTTGCTAGGCGGGAGGCAGAACCAGGCCGGCTTTGTAAGAGACCTAGAGGCACCTCGAGGTGCGAAAGGAGGCTGCGATGGTTGGCGGGAGTGGAAGCCGAGGGAACAAGAGTTTTCAGGGCTTTTGACAAGCAGGATGGCCCTCTGCATGCCACTGGTGGGTAAGTTCATCCCTTAGGAGGGATATCAACCTGCTGTCCTGGGCAGGTAATTAAATTCCGCCTCCCTCAAGCAATTCTATCATGTTTACCTCTGTAATCTTGTTAAATTTATCTGTTAAATAATACGGGCGCTCACAACTTGTGAGCAATGACTACCATTTGAGAAGTGGTAAAATATGAGCAGAACATATAATTTAGCCACCACAGTGGGATATCTTTTGATATAAGATTAAGTAATGTAATTAGAGCAACTTAGCTCCAAATGAGGTCTATTTTCAAAAAGATCACACTGTACATGTTTGGATGCAGGCACATACATTCCTGTACATTCACAGGTGGCCCGCAGACAATGAATGAGTACCATTCCCTAATCTGTCTTTACCTTGATTCTTTAAGTCATGTGTGCAGGCAAGTCAGAACAGCTGGTATAACCTGTATCGACATCAGTTAGTCAAATGTCTGTCTTTGTACATAATGCACATTTCTCCACATACAAACCTTAAATACTTCCAGGTACACCAAAATATTTTAATAATAATAATAAATCTGTGGCCCTCAGGCTTAGTTTTAACTGTTTTTGTCAAACATTCTTCTGAGTGGTATAGCACTGGTCAGTGCATTGCTGTACAGAGGTAACTTGTGGTTGCTGTGATGCTGAACACTGTGACACTGATGTGTCAAATGTGATAACGGTTACCCATAGTGGACAGTGTTTGGTGGAGCTCCCTGATTAAAACAAGCTTGGAAGCAGGAGTGGCATCCACTTCCGAAATGGCTTGCCTCTGGAAACTCTAGGAACAGTGCTCAGGTCTTTTGTTCAGAGGATCACTATGAGTCGTCTACAAGTCCATGGCACTTAACAACAACAACAACAGTAATAATAATTTTGATATGCATAGCAAAAGCTATATCCATTTGTTATTATGAATCACTGTATGCATTTCCAGTTTTTAATGTAATGAGCTCTACTTAGGTTGGTTTGTAAGGTTTGTACTAACTCAGAACTTCATAAACCAGGACAGTTATATATAGACACACACACACACACACATATATATACACAGCTGTCAAACTCACTGCTAATGAATTAGCATTGACAGTTGACTTTCCATTGAGTTTCCAAGGCCAAAAAATCACACGAGAGGAGAATGCTCATCTTTCTACCATTGAGATGCCTCTGGGTTAGTAGCAAAACTCCCTGCAAACTATGTCACCAGAGTGAGCAAGCTCTATCTATCTATCTATCTATCTATCTATCTATCTATCTATCTATCTACAGATCTGTCTTTGTGTGTGGATATACACCAGAGTCTCTGAAACCCCATGAGATGGTCAGCTACACATTGCAAAAAGTAAGTCATTGCTGTGGAACTGGAATGATTCTTAGCTGACCCTCCAGTAGATTTCAAGAGGTTGTATATCACATAGGAGCAGACAGTTCATCTTTCTCCTACAGATCTGCTACCTGCTGTTGCTGGGTCGACAGTGCAACTGTTTGCTCACCAGGCCACCAAAGACCTGTAAACCTTTAAGAAATTGTTCCTGAGCCATGGAAAATATAAATAAATAAATCACCAGCATAAGTCAACATGGATCCTTCAAAAGTTTAGATAAAACTTATTTAAAAAATAGATCTGTTCTCCCAATTAAAGGAGATCACTTATATACATGAAAAGATTTAAGAGTTGAATTTTGTTTTCTGGATCTCATTTTTACAACTATTAATAAAAGAAATATTGTCCTACAACCAGGAGAGGATAAAAAGATGAAATCAGACCTTCTAAGAATCAAATCACTAGGCACAATCAAAAACTTCTCCAACAGGGTAGAAAGGGAAGCCACAGACTGGGAAAAATATTTGGCAATGACATGCCTGATAATGGACTTATATCTATCTAGAATTTATAAAATACTTGAGCACCATAATAAATGGAAACAACCCAACCGCAAAATGGGCACAGGATATGAACAGAGACTTGACCAAAGAAGACATTTAGATGGCAAACAAACACATGAAGAAGTGTTCAAAATTCCTAGCTCTAAGAGAGATGCAAATCAAAACAACTATGAGCTATCATCTCACCACATAAGAATAGCAAAATTCAACAGAGCAGCAAACAACAAATTCTGGCGAGGTTGTGGAGAAACTGGGAACTTATTCACTGTTGGTGGGAATGTAAAATGGTACAACTACTATAGAAGGCAGTATGGTTCTTTCTCAAAAAATTGGAAATAGAAATACCATTGGCTCCAGCAATTCCACTGGGAATGTACCCTAAAGAAACGAGAACTGCCACCCAGGCAGATAGATAAATACCCATGTTTATTGCTGCTTTGTTCACAATAGCAAAGAGTTGGAAACAACCCAAGTGCTCATCAAAAAATGAATAGATAGAGAAACTGTGGTATATTCACACAATGGAATACCATGCTGCATTGAAAAACAAGGAACTCATGCAATATTATTCAAAACGGGTGACCCTGGAGGACATTATCCTGAGTGAAATAGCTCAGTCACAAAAGGACAAATACTACATAATGCCTCTGTTGTAAGATGAGAATAACATCGGGGTTGGGGGGCAACATAAGAAAAAAGAGGATCAATAATGTATACTGCATTGATACAGATGAGGGAGAGAACTGTTTAAAAGGAATATATGATTAGGTATTATTTTCATGACAAGATTCCAGAAAAAGAATGCATAGTAAAGTGGACTATTTACTTGGCAGGGGCCGGGGGGATGAGGGGGGAGAGGCAAGGATTGTATAACAATGAAAGAATTTTTTTTTCTTTTCAAAGAGAAAAGTGAACTGGGGGGGAGGGATGGGTAGGGAGGAAAATGTGCAACAATGAATAAATTGGAAAAAATTAAATGGGAAGAATAAGCTATAAAAAACATGTTGCATTGAAAAAAATTGTACGTTTGTTTTACTTTCTTTTATCCTAAAAAAAAAAAATCCCAAAACAAACTCATCTCTCATCCCTCTGTTCTTTCTCCTTCAGCTTTAGAGCGAGAGTCACTCCTTTCTTCAAGGCTCATTTCTGCACTAACACTCCTGTTCCCACCCTCTCTACTTCCGGAGTTTCTGTTTCTTTAACTCTGGAGCTTTCCTCCTTCCTGTGTGCATTTAAATAAAAAACAGCCCATCCCATAGTTGTAGCCTCTCTACATGGTAACCACTCTCACTCTTTCTCCACTGTCAAATTTCTGAATCTTAAAACATACCACTTTCCACAACCCTACTGTTCATCATATAACACTGCTTTCACTAAGGTTGACCAAGGACTCTTGAATTTTAAAATCCAGTTTGTGTGCGTGTGTGTGTGCGTGTGTGTGTGTGTGCGCGTGCGCGCCCTTGACCTATGTACCATCTGATAGTCCCCCTGGCTGCTGTCTCCTTGAAGCTGAATATTCTCTTAATTTCTGTAATGTCTTTATCTTCCAGGTCTCTCTTACAAGATTTGAATCTTCTTTTCAGTCTAAATCCAAACTGTTGTTTAACTATTATTCTAATGTTCATAATGCCCAGACACACTGTTTTTTTGTTTGTTTTGTTTAGGCTTTTACCTTCTATCCTACATTTCTTTCTCTCCAGTTAACTGTTAGACATTGCTATCAAAGCATCCCAACCATCAACACCTTTGCCCCGGTCAGTTCTTCCTCAGTTGTTTGAGAGAGCAGGAAGTGGTCTCTCCTTTGAAAAGCTCCCTATCTGTTTATGTGTCACTTCACTATGTCAGGACCTTTGGCCCGACAGATATTAACGGCAATCATTCCAGATCTACTCTTGCCTTCTTCTTCTTGCTCTGTTCTAGGGACTGACATCCTCCTAGTCACCCAAATGTTCCAAATAACTTTAAACTCCTCATATGCCATGGTCACTTTCCACGAGTTCTTAGATTGTCACAGCTACCTTTCCTCTGATTCTCAAAAGGGCTCCAATCTGCCCATCCCCAAGGACACTGCCCTTATTGTGTCTTACATGGACTGTTATCCCATTTTGGATCATATTACCCTCTGTTGCCAGGGTAATATTCCTAATAGCATAGTACTTTCGCAAGTCTGAAATGTCCATATCCATAAGTCAAAGATACCTCAAGTTGTCCACAGAACCTTGACTAACCCCATCAATACAATTATTTCCTCCTCACTATGAGCCAGTGACAGACCCTTATCCCAGCTTAAATATTCTGCGCTTACATTAGGAGTTATTTAATGATTATCTCTTCTGTGACTCTTTAAGGCAAAGAGCATCAGGTACATTTTTATCCTCAAAGTCTTTGCCATAGAGCCCGGGCTAACTCTCTTTCACACAACAGCCACTCTACAGGTCCCCGCGGGAAGAAACTGAACCTACTTCGTCATCTTCTTGGGATCCATTCAGGGGTCCATTCCGTGTCTCTTGGAAAAGGATCTTTTTCATTTTTCGGTACTGCAGGTTATCAAGTTCACGGACAGCATCTTTCGTCCTCTGTATGAGGTCAATGAGGACTCGTAGTGGCTGGTCTTGTCGGACAAACTCATGCTGATGAAAGAAAAAGAGAAAACAGACAGTGACAGTCAATAAACAGGTATAAAACAGTTGTGTACATGGGTAAGGATAGAATGGTTGAGTGGATTTTATAGGGAGCTTTGAAAGCCTAGCAGTAAGAAGCTGTACTGCAATTCCAAAGACACATGGCCCAAATCCACTCATTAACTGTTCTGCAGGAGAAAGATGGGCAGTCTCCTGCTGGATGATTAACTGCTTCTGAAAATCCACTGAAGAGCCAGCTACGAGTCGGTTCTGACTCAATGGTTCTTACAAACAGAAAGAATATAAATTTTATACAAATTACAAAGCATGATTTTTATATGACTTTCCACAGTGTATAAATCTCATAAAGTGATAACAGACTTTTTCTTCTCTTCTTTAAATCTCATCTGTGGACTTTAAGAATTAACATCAGAATGCCTGACATTGACTCTATCATATAAACTGATAACAAAGACTACTTTAAACAGCAGATATGTTGGTTGTAATGCAGAGTGATTTCATCCCTCCTCCTCAATACACTAAACACTACCTTCTCAATAACATTATGCACATATTTGAACCAATTATGCTGTTGTTCAGTTTATCCAGAGGTCAGGTTTCTTGCAACTTTGTCGCCCCTTCATAGAGTTGTACAATAGACATTAGGGAAAAGTACCTCTGAGCCCTCCTGCCCAATAACATTACTTTGCTTTAATCCATATGCTAGTTTCTTGGCTTCTCAGCTCACAGCTGATTAAAAGAGGGTATAGAGAACAGACACACAAATAGAGATATGTACATTTATATTCATAGCTGTGTTATTCACAATAGCAAGAAAATGAAAACAGCCCAAATGCCCATCAACAACCAAATGGATTGAGAACTGTGGTATGTCCACACAGTGGAATACTATGCAGCACTCAGGAACAATGACTTTGTAAAATACTATATTACAAGGGAGACTCTAGAGAGCATTATACTGATTGAACTAACTCAGTCTCATAAGGACAAGTATTGCATAAGACCATTATTTTAAAAATAGAATAGGCGAGCTCTGGTGGCCTAGTGGCAGGAAACTGTATTGCAATCCCAGAGGTGCGTGGTTCAAATCCACCAGATGCTCTGCTGAAGAAGGAGGAACAATAGCCTCGTACCAGTCAGATCCAATTTGACGGTACACACATTAAATAGATAGATAGATAGATAGATATCATTTAAAAAAATAGAAGAATAACTAGTAAGCTGCACATAAATGTGCAAAAGGAGAAGGAGAAAGAGGGAAGAAGCAGGAAAAGGGAGACTATGTAACTACTAGGATAGCAGAGTCCAGTGAGCAGATGGGGAGGGCAAGGAAAGAAGAAGAAAGAGTCAATGGGGACTCTAGAAGACCCAGTAATAAAAAGCAGAGATCAACAGAAATTAATTATATAAAATACAATGTATAGCATGACTGCATAAACACAAGGTAGAATGAAAGATCATATAAAACACAATGTACCTGAATGAAACACAATGTATAAAAATTACATAAACTTGACGAGGTCATGACCCTCAGTACTATGGAATTCCTCTTCCACTAGGTGATTTGATAGGATTATTTTCCATTTTGGGTATGATATAATCATACTATCTTTAAATCTCAACCTCTAGGATGTTAATGAAGCAAGATGAGTAGTTATGTTAATGAGGCAGGATGCACATTACAGGATTAGAGACTGTCTTGTGTCACACATCTTTTATATTCACTATTTATGTGAACTGGGTGATGCTGTACAGAGCAGATCAGTTTTCCATTCAACAGTTTGTACACGTTTTGTTTCACATAACTGACTATATTCCCTGTAGTTCAACATCACTTACCCCAGTGACTCTCTGGGTTTCCTATTTCCATTCCTCCTCCTTTCCTATCCTTCCTGCTTTCTGAACTTTGACCTTGCATCAATACTTCCCTTTTGGTCTCAAATGTTTACTTATTCTAAAACACATGGATTTCCTGAGTGGTGGTGTTCAACTTATTGACCTCTTGTTTGATTGAACACTGAACCTTGAGTGTAGCCCCAGGCCTGATAGGTGATGAAGAGCCATAGACTTGGGGACACCCCCCCCCCATACCCCACTCCCAGTCTATAGCCAACCAATAAGCTTGGTCTTTTTTACACTTTTGAGGTTTTGTTCTACGTCCCCACCCTCACTCGATGCTCTACCCAAGACAGATCTTCTAACATAATCCTTTCCAGAGTAATCAATGGTGGTAGCTGGGCACCATCCTGCTTCTTCTGGCCTCAGAGTTGTGCAGACTGAGATTCATTTAGTCCATTGATGCCACTATTCTTGTGTGCCATCAAATGAGAATCAACTCATAGTTGACCCTCCAGCAGTTTTTTTGGGGCAGTAAATTGCATAAGAGGAGACTACTCATTCTTCTCCATCACAAAGCCTACTGTCTGTCAGTAAGCCAATCAATCTCTTTAGACATCTAAAGAGACTGAAAAAAAGCAAGCAAAGGGCAAGGACCTGACTGCCAAAGAGTTGAGACTATTGAAGAGTTGGGAGTAGAATGAACTCTTGTGGACCTGAGCTGAGAACCTCCTAGATCCAAATTAAGATTGATGCCACGACATATGGAGATTGTCAAGGAATAGTGGACCCACAGATGCTGAAAGAAGCCAAGGACTTTCCTCCAGTTGGGAGAGAGAAAGTCTTTCTATTAAGCTTATGCACTGAACTTGGACTTCTAGCCTCCTGAACTGGGAAAGACTAAATCTATCTATATAAGCCATCTCTGCTTGTGGGATTCTGTTATAGCAGCACTTGGTAACTAAGACCCAAGACTACGATCTCAGAACCACCAGGAAGCAAAATGATGTCCACTGTGCTCTTTGTAAGACAGGAAGCACATTATACATTATACATTCTGACAAGATTCAACAAGAAAGAGTAAACAAGTGGGAAAGAGGTGGTTTGGTTTTTAAAGGAAAAGATTCAATTATGTGGGGAATTCAGTTATGCAAAATGACACTAGGAAAATGGGACACAATGTGGTAAGGCCTTCAACGATGGAACATTCCATTTCTTTATCATAAATGAGGAGAAGAGACTTCATGGGGGAAATAATCCATATGTCTTCTGGCTCCTTACCCTGACTTTGCTGACAAAGTGGTATTTTTTATTTTATAAAAACGCTCTTCCCCTGAAATTACTCTTTTCTGAAAGTGAAACATCCTATCCAGAAGGCCGGGGCAACAAGGAGAATGTAAATGATTTTTATACATTTGTTAAGTTACAATTTACCAAGATAATTTGTAAATTATTTTGAAAAGAACTTGCAATTATATAAGGACAAATCAGTTGTCAGTAAACTCCAAGCTATGATTTAGGATTATAGACTTTTAGACCAAGAAAGGGTCTCAGAAATGTTTTTTTCTGCTTTCCTTTTCCAGGTAAAAAAAAACCTTGGGCCCAAAGAAGTGATTTACAGGGCTATGAAAAAAAGGGGGTGGGGAGAGAAGCTATTTAGTGGAAGGAGATTTTGGGGGTTTTGGCTTATTTTTTGGCTTACTTTTCTGGTCATTTACTACTTACCACAATTATCTCTCTCCAACACCAGATTAAGACATGATAGCTCACTTGTCTCCATTCCAGACTTTGTGCCCTGTTTTCCTTTGTTATTAGCACTTGAATCAAGCATGTGAATGCCAGCCCTCCTTGCAGTTCCAGATAAACAATGTGACAGACTACTGGCCAATGAGATAGAGACAGAAGCCCCTGAGGAAGGCTTCATGTTCTAGTATACAGAGTCGAGGAATCTAAGGAGAAGGCATTTTATCCTTTTCCTACTTGGAATAAGAATCTGAGCCCTGGAGATGCAGCAGCCACTTTGTGAGTAAGATAAAAACTACTTGCTATAGAGGATCAAGTGGAAACAAGGGAAAAAAGGAGCTTGGGTGAATGAGACCATTATTGAGCTGTATAGCTCTAGACTGCTTAAACCACGCCCTTCCCTCACATCCAGGACTTCTTTAAAAGATAATTATAACTTTGCCTGTTACATTCTTATTAAAAAACCCTCAGATCTATCTACTCAGCATCTTTAAACATTTCCCTGCCTATGTAATAAAATCCAACGTGGTTTTGTGTGTGTGTGTGTGTGTGTGTGTGTGTGTGTGTGTGTCTGCATTCTTTTTTTTATTAAATTTTATTAGTTTTAATGAACACTTACAGAGATTTTGGGTTTTCATTCATTCACTGTTGCACTGTTTTCTCCACCCTCATGCCCAGTTCGTTCTTCTCCGCCCCCCCGCCATGTCTGTTTTAATTGTCCAATTGCCACAGTGCTTGTCAAAGCCAGTTCTGATTAATCTCCTTTGTCAGTGTGTCCCTTGCCATTCCCTATCACTCCTCCCTGGGAGAGACTTCACCCTGATTCATAAGGAAAAGGGGACAGCGTATTCTCTTAGCTACTTCCTGCTGAAAAGGGACGCTGTGGGTTTCAGGGTGAAGGTCTTCTCTCACTACTCTAAAGGGCCCCTTTGGCAGTAGGAAACACATAGACTATTACGGAGATTGATTTTGGAATTTAGATGCAAAAGTCCAACTTTTTACAGCAAGATTTCTGCTTCTGGGTCTAGGCTCAAATCTAGTCACTCCTCTTTCTTTTCTATCCAGGTACATTCCATGGTACATTCCAGCTAATTCTATCCTACTCCAGGATTTTTCTCATGATGTTCTTTCTGGCTGTAACCTCAGCTTACACTGTCTCTACAGCACAGGAGTGGTCTGTATTCATTGCCTCTACTTCCTTCCTTGTTCAGCTCATTCCCGGACCAGCTGTGAAGGTAAGCTTGCCACCCTCACAGTGGAAAAAGGCCCTCAGCCTGCCTTAATAGAAAATGGCTTTACTGTTCTTGTATATACAACACGCTGACTTTTAAACACTGAAGGAATCCAATAAAACAAACAGAAGAAGGAAAAAGTCCCATCACCCCAAATGACACCACTCAGAAATGAAT